TGGAATTTTAGATCTCACCAACTAATTTTCGAAACTTTATTATGATAAGTAGAACAGGGAGAAGGTAGATGCAGGGGGTGGGGGGGGAGGGGGGTGAGAGGAAGATAAATTTATGTTGAATCCCATGACTGAGGATGGAGTTATGAATTATGAAAAAGTACTAATCTGTGGTTATCAATCTCTTCCAAGCAACTGTGGAATTAGTACTGCTATACGGGTGTATATCATGGGACAATCACCAACAAAAAGACGAGGCAATTAGATCGATGTTACACCCGACTGCTCAGAGCAGCCCTGAATGTCCGGCAAAGTATAGTAGCATTATAAGTAATGCAGACCTATAAGGCCATCTGCCACAATTCTCTGAAAAGCTAAGACGGAGAAGATTGAAGCTTGCTGGCCACTGCTAAAGGAGAAAAGATGAAGTTGTTTTTCCAGCTTCTCTTATGGACTCCATTATCATGGGTGAAGAGGCAGAGGAAGACCAGTCATAACATACATAGATGTGCTCAGAGAAAATAGAAATAGAACCTAGGGAATGCCATGTTTAATAAACAGGAAGACCTGGGCCCCGTCTTACAAAGAGTTGATTTCAATTGCAACTTATTTGCAATTGATATCAATCGCAACTATGGACATAAGAGATAGGAGCCTGCAAACTTGCAATTGATTTGGATCAATTATAAATCTTTGTAAGACGGGGCCCTGGTCCATCACGATTATAAGAAACCCGAATTAGATTGGAAGAACTTGGCTAAACTTGAAGTACCGGGAGTGGTTATGTTTATTTTGAGCTAGTTTTATTCTTCAACATCAAAGTGATACAGACCGGAACACACTATAGCCGTTGATATATAGTTTCTTCTTCTGTTTGCTTGGCTTCCTTCAATCCTCTTGAAATTTCATTGATGATGAATCAATCACATTTGTGATAGTAATTAAGAATAATAAAAGTGGAGTCTTGTATAGCGCTCATATCTAGCACATTGCCACTCCTGGCACTCCATTATTATTACCCGGCTTTAGCACAGCCGCCATTACAGCGCTAGCACATTTTAATGAACTTAGTTTTTGCCAAGTACCCTTTACCTCACCTGGATGGAGTGTGGCAAATGTAGATTATCGGTAGTTTCTGGCTAAAGGACATTGATGCTGGGATAGTGTATCAAAACCCAGACTTTGATTGCTCATACTGCTTAGAGGTACATGTGGGGTTAATTTACCTTCTAAGATGATTTTACAGAGATTTTCAGCATTGCCTGAGTCTTCTCCCACGGGATGTAGTCCTAGTTTCCTCACTACTCCTCCTGTTGATGTACCTACGCTGAAAGCATGTAGCTTACTCCATTCATCCCTCAATCTGCTATTCCATTCTATAGAGTAATAATAATAATAATAATAGCCATATTTACGTATCATTTAATACTACGTTTAGAAGCACTTTACATTGTCATTATTATTACCCCGGTTATTGGATTCAAATGCTTTTTCGTACATTCGCACATGCTCTGTTCCCTGAGATACTCTGCCAAGCTCCATTTCACAAACGCACACATGCTTAGTCAACCATACCAACTTTTGCATCCTACTGGGTACCCATTCAACAACTGGGTGGAGAGTGGCAAATGTGTATATACGTACATGTCTTGTCAAGGGACACTAGTGCTGTGCCAGAGCTATTCACCTTCACCATATCCATTAAAGTCTTTAAACCACTCAACTATGACACCTGTAATATAAGTACTGATAGAGTACAATAAGATGGTCTGTGGATGGTGCCTCATCCCATTCATCTCTCAATCTACAATTCCATTCTAAGTGGAAGACATTCAGAATTCAGAGGAGCTTTCTGTCTTACAACGAAGGACAGCATAATTGAGAGAAGAAACTGAATATCTTACACATGATCCCACAGTGCAAAAAATGGTGAAATTTGAATTGTAACTCTCACATTTTTTCGAGTCTGTGAAAGGCCTTATCCCCACTCCAGCGAAGCATAGCTGAGAGGCATCAATTGCACACTAGTACACAATGAATACAAAGTGGCTGATTGGCAATAATTTTTTCTAACATCGGTAAGTTGAAAAGGTTGTATTTTACTGCTATTTAGGGGTCATCATTTGTCACTAAAGTACCGATTTTGAGTAAACTCAACTGAGTTTTGTACAGTGGTGTTTGAAATGTTGAGAATCAATAGAGGTCATTTAAACAGTTTTTAATACACACAATGTATACTGATGCGCTATGTGTGCTTATTTCTGCTTACCATCATTCGTATCATGCCTCTCAAGGCAGAGAGCGACTGATTGGACGGTCCTGGGGCTTGAGAAGATGAGTCCAGAATGGTCTTCAGGATGGGATATGTGAGCATACAGGGTATCCAGGTCGATGAACTCAAAGCCGATAGGTGACAGAGAGACGCAGTCTACATCTGCTTCTTGAAATGCCTGTAGAGGATGAAACGATTCAATGAAAAAGTAAATCAACTTATCTATGGAAGAAGACTTGTTCACTTAAGAATATTGATGTGTTTGAGGGTCTTAGTAATGGTAGATAACTCGGATAATAGAGAGTTGGCAGACTGGTTTGTTATGATAGCCATGTTATTTTTTCAACTACGATGGACACGGGATATTCGCATATATCCCATATTGTAACAAATGCAAATGTCAAGTTCATATATCCTTGCACTGTTAAATAGTCTCACAACTTTGATAGAACCATTGGATGTTGTTTTGTTACATTTGTCTTAATTATAACTGATTTTTTTTAAAAATGTATTACCGGTATACGACCATATGCAATGTGACTGACAAAGTAAGAGAAAGCATTGAAGTAGAAAATAAAAGGGTGGTTCATTAAATTTCTTCAAAATAAAATATCATTTTCATTTCCAACACGATGCCTGATTTTTTTACATTTAGTCCCATAATAATATATCTAATATTTTGTATCATGTCATCACAAGTGAAAAGTTGTTAAGTTAATGCTAGATGCAGAGATTTTTTTTACCTCTTGATACTTGTCCTTTGTATCATTTTCCTGTGCAGACCTCAGCAGCAAACTGTTCATCTTGGCAAAGAGCTCCTTTGAAATGAAACAGATAAAGAATTCATAAGAACCACCTATTAAGGATGATCTTGATAGCCTTATATGATAGGGGACTTCATGTATCAAGTATCAATGTTGTTGTTGGTAATAGTTTAATGGCGTTCATTCAGTATTGAATATACGCCATATCTTCAGTTTTATAAGAAAATCAGTTAAACATAACAAAACTGAGAATAAAGATTTAGTCTCTGGATGGTTTGCAACTTTGTGTTTCTACTTTTTTATAAGTTTTATCTGGTCAGCCCGGTTTTCGATTGCATGGTCAGCCAGGTATCAATGTATAATGGGGCTTAGTTAAATACTATTTTCGATTTTTTTTTTTTTTTTTTTTTTCCTTTTTTCTTTCTTCAAATCTACAGAAATATAGTAAATTGTTGAAGAAAAAGATTACTTAAATTGTACATTTTAAGACTTGGACTTATATGACGGTGACGAGTTTGAGGGTCTTAGTAAGGTAGATAACTAAGGATAATAATAGAGTCGGCAGTCTGTTTTTTTATGGTAGATATCGGATACCGGATATTCGGATATCATAACATACGGTAGGCGATTTATGCCCTTAAAAGTCTTGAACCAGATGTAAAGAGGAAAAAGTACCTTAAAAATTATGATCTTCAAATGTTTTTTCCTTCAATATTGAAAAATAAAAATAATGTTAAATTCCGTCGATTTGTGACCACGATTTGTATCCCTTGGGAGACAGATGCCAGGAATGGTGAGAGCAACCAGCGGCATGAACAATAGTTCAAGTCCAACTATGTAAGTCAATCTTAGTCTTTATGAAACACTCCCCCAAAGCTAGGCTTCAAGAAGGGCTATAAAAGGGAAACGAAATGCATAAACCTACATCATGGGGAAATAGATGCTAAATAATGATGAATGATGATGACATTAATCTTCATGACATGAACCCATTTTGACAATTTGAGTTTTTAACAATAAGCACAAACTTTCTTTATGATCCCCCTCATCACCATTTCTGATGTTATATCATCATTGTTTTTGTAATCATATCATCATAATCATGATCAAGACAATCATTACCACCAACAACATATCATTATCAGACAGGATCAGACATCATCACCATGCAAGGCACGACGTACATTATTATTTACCGGTAGAGACCGCTTCATGGCAAACTTTGCCTTGCCCTTGGCTTTGGACAGGGTCAATGATCAACCAGCATTTTAATCAGTTCATTGAACATCTAGGCTAGATTTCCATATTTTAGACCCCTCTAATCTCTATCAATATCACTCAGTCGCATACACAATTCACATAATTGTATTCCCAATTCCTAATCATGCTAATGATCCTAATATCTACTTACTTGATGTCTTGATTTCTTTGCCTTTGCCGCGGCTTTGGGACCTTGAAAGTTGAATTGAATAATGGCTTCCACTGCACTGTCAGTGTCACTGAAGTTCCAGAAGATGAGAATAACAGTCTAGCTCTAGGCTAATTTAAGTCTTACTTTTAGTCTAAGAAGTCAGAGTTAGACTACATGCAGCTACAGCTACATCACCATACAATATATTGTACAATATACGTGTAATATTGTTAGTAATAATGTAGCCTGCACTTTTCAGGAAGAAGAAGAAGAATGAGCTCTGCACTGCACTGTGCACTGTTTGCATGCAGATTTGTGTACAGTCGACTGTAGCTGTTACGTTTATGATGATGTCGTCTGCTACAGCCTAAACAGGCAGTGCAGGGTATGTTTGTTATTGTGTTATTTGATTTATTTTTCTCCAAATTAGTTAATATTTATTCCTTTAAAAAATATGTTGAAAATAAATATTATATTTTTTTTTTAATTTATTCATAAAAATTTACAAAGATAGAGTAAAGATAAAAACAATTATTTAAATTGATGAACGAGACAAACTATTGCACAAGATGGCGACTTACTCAAAGAAAAAACGTGTTGACTTGGAGGAAAAGGAGTCCGATTCCAGTGATGATAACGACGAAATGGAAAATGATGACATTGGAGATGATAAAGATGAAGATTGTGATTCTTCTGATGAAGAAATAAATGAGGTAAATTTGATTTGAGGGTGATTTGTATGAAAGGCACTGAGCTGAGAGTGAGAGTCACTATTATTGTGATTGGTCCCACAAGCGTATATTTATGTATAGTTTTCTTGCCCATCCGGCTGGCACTGAAATTCATTCATAGACATAGACTAGTCATACTCATATCATAGAGGCACTCATACACAGCCTGACAGTAAACTCATACAAAGAAGGATCATACCTCTTGTTTCACTAAACCAGTACTCAGTAGGCCTAGGGGCGCTGGCCCGAGAACGAGGATCGTCTTCGTAAATGCGGACAGATGCGTCCTCCAAAATGATCGTCTTCATCTTCGCGGAGGATTCTTATTTCTGATCCTTGCGGTGGCGATGCGAAAAACGGATTCTGTGATGATTTTCTTGATGCATTTCACATTGACTTTGCATTTGTACTTTGTACAGAGGCTAGACTTTCACGTTATGAGCGATAAATCCTCTTGAACTTGAAGACGGACAAATCGTAAAAGTAGACAGCGAAATTGGGGGTATTTTATTCCACGGAATCCATTTCCAGCGCCCGACAATGAATGGTCAAGATAGACAATCACATATTTCTTTTAGAAGAGAATTACTTATATGAATTAAGAATTTGATTTAATTCCCATCTTCCTCCAAACAGCCATTTTTTAAATACATTTTTTTAATACAATCATACACTGGAGACTGTTCTGTTTTACTCCCCCCCCCCCCCCCCTCTCTCTCTCTCTCTCTCTCTCTCTTCCTCTTTCCCTACTTCCCCTCCCACATTTTTCTCTGTATTTTGGAACATTGTTTTCTCTCCCATTTTTTCCCTTTTCTGAACACAGGAAGTTCAGATAGAATTTGAAGCGTTTCCTCCCCAAGATAATGACTTTCATGGCATCAAGCGACTGTTGCAGCACGTAAGAATGGATCATTCTTTATTCCATTTCAATTCCATTTCTCGTCTTAAGAACTGCTGTGAATTTCCATAATTACCTTTAATTTTGTTCAAAGTTAGAAGGGAATTACATATATGCATTAAGAATTTGATTTAATGCCCATCTTCCTCCAAATAGCCATTTTTTTAATACATCTGGAAAGTTTTGATGAATGAGTAGCTTCTTAGTCTACCAACAAAACCAAAAACAAATCCTAACAGGTGAAGGAAATTGAAACCCAACAAACTTAAGCTTATAATTGATATTTTGGCTGTCTTTTAAACTTGAGTGTTGATATAGGGTAAGATCATTGAAGCGTATGCAGCAGAAATATCATTGAAAGAGGCTGTATTTAATTATTATTTTTCATTTTTTCTGTTTTCTGTTTTACAGCTTTTTTCAAAGACCAAAGTGAATACCAGTCAACTTACCGATCTGATACTATCCCAGAATCATGTTGGTTGTGTATTAAAGGTAATGTCGCTCTTCAAACATATCTTTAATACTAATACAGTGTATGTGGCTCGCTCAGCTATAAAACAAGTTTGGAAAGTGTTAATCTGACTTTATGAATGACTTTCTATAAGATATTAGTTGTACTTTGTGTTTGTAATCTGTGTCATTCCTCTCCCTCATGATGTGTAGAGTTAAAAAGGCCTTCCTTATTTTCTCACTTTACCATATTTCTCTTAAACTTGCCTACATGAAAATGACATATTAAAGCCAAATATGGAAACATTCATTTTTTTTTGTTTTGTTAGTATGATTGCTATGATTAGACAAATATTTATAAAAAGTTCATCTTGTGAATGTGTATGTGCATGACGGAGGGATGCATATTGAGAAAGCCATTGCTATGACCATCATCTTTACTCATTTTGTTTCTTTACAGCAAAGTGATGCTCAACTTGCAGAAGAGAGTGACTCTGATGATAATGATGATGATGATGTGTTTGGATTTACTACAGTACTGAACATCATTGAGAAGAAGGTAAATGAAACTTCAGTCAAACCTGCTTTAGTGACCACCTGTCTACAAAGACCACATTTTTTTGTTTCCCTTGAAAATGGTTCTCATTGAAAGAGGTACTTAAGGAACCTGTCTACAAAGACCATGTTTTGTGTTTCACTTGGGCGGTCGCTATAGACAGGTTTGACTGTATTAATTTCATGCTGAAGAATCATGCAATATATTGAATATATTGTCTATTGAGAGACAGAAGGCGTCAACTCTATAATCAAGTATACAGATTAATGTCCTTCTGGCGCCAAACAGACAATATAATCTTCCAGTTTCTGTGCTATTCTTTTAAAGTAAACTGGCATCAGTAGAGCACTTATGATGAGGTGGGGTTTCAGACCAAATTTCCTACAACTAAGCAAGAAAGTCATCAATTAATTGACAAGGCTTGAAAATTCAAAAGTTTACAATAGTATTTGAATAAGGGAAGGGATTGATCACGACCACCCACAATCCCCCCCCCCCCCCAAACACATCCAAGCGATGCATCTTTTAGTACTAAGTCTTTCACATCAATCTCCCCAGAACACTGAATGCATCCAAGAAATCCACAAGCTTATAGTGGATAAATGTTCAGCCTGCAACTCAGTCGAACAGGTCGATGAACTGTCCAGGATTCTTGGGGACGAGTCACACAATGTTGGTCTTCTGCTGTGCGAGCGCTTTGTTAACATACCTCATCAGCTCGCTCCTCCTCTCCACAGTAGCCTCCAGTAAGTATCATCTCATAAATTTAATCAGATCATTGTTTCAAGAGTACTTGTTTGATTTAACGGATTTGTAAAGGACCGATCACAAAACAATATTTTGTTCTTTATTTTCCTTTTGGGGGGCGTGGGGGGGGGGGGGGTCCATATACAGCTTTTGTTTAGTTCTGTAAAAAGAAGTTGCAAGTTCAGGTACTCTCTAAATAAAGTATAAGCGACTTGTTAGAACACTACTTGACACGCCTGTAATTGCACTCACATTGACAGGACCCATAGGCAGAAAATCATTAAAAAACATTACATATGAAAGAAAAATCAATTAATTAAAACGTGATGAGTCATCAAGAAAAAATAAATCAGTATTGATTGGGGGGGGGGGGTATTTTCCAATTAGTGGTACAACCATGTGTGATGTCAAAGAAGAAAAAATAAATACAGGAGGAAAAAAGTCGGGAAGATGATGAATGCAGAAGATGAAGAAACATGAATAAATGGAGTGATGGGAATAAGAGGAGAAAACTAAAAATTAGGTGAATTAATGGCTTTTTTCATTCATCAAGCTATTTCCCCATTCTTTTTGGCTATTTTTCATTCATTGCGGGTATTTTCCTTCTCGAATTACTTAAAGATGTATGCCCACAATTATACCACTTTCTCACAACGACACAAAGATTCTAAGTTGTAGTTATTGAAGTTGGACTTAAAGCTTATCAACACTAGTGTGGCTAGGAGGGATTTGACCACACAATGAGGTCACTGACAGGTGGCTATCTCATCAACTCAGCTCTCAAATAACATAAGAAATAGAGGATCATAGGGGACCAACAGGCACCGATTAGGGAAGTTTTCTATATAGAGGGAGCAAGTAGCTACAAGTAGGACAGTGGGGCTTTAACAGTTATGGAAAGCATCTTTGAAAATATTGTGTAAAAGTTATTTTAAAAGGCATAAAATGTTTGTTCAAATCATTCATATTTTCTGTCATCAAGAAGATAGCATGTTCCGGATGTGGAATTTATGAAAAGTCTAAAATACTTGAATTTTTGCTTAAGAATATAATTTATTTTAAGGCTACAAATGGCACTCCATAATTTTTAAGTCCAACTTTGAGTTTAAGTTCGACTTAGGATCTTTGTGAAACACCCCCCAGGAGTGTAAATTTGGACAGACATGGCGCATTCCCAATGTTCACTACTATTAGTATTATTATTATTCTATCTTTCAGGAGTGACATCAGAAGAGCAGGAGCTAAAAACCCTCATCTTAAGTTTGACTACTATCTCCTAATGAGCAGAGCCTATCAGCAGCCCAAACCCCCATCCAAGAAGAAAAAGACTCCAGACATCGATAGCATAGACTGGATTTTCACCAATGCTGAAGACGAAATCTTTCTCAAGGTGAGACGATGTAATAGCCTTCTAAGAAATTTTATAATGAAATCCCACAAAGAAAATACAGAACTAAATAATATATGTTTTGCATGCTAGGGTGAAATATCAATGCAAATGGTTAAGAATATTAAGAAATACTAATACAATTAATAAACATTGAAATATTTGCTGATCTGTATCACAACTAGATTCTACAAGACAAATTTAGAATGTGGTTCCCTTTCCCCTCATTCACTGTCTATCAAACTTCCAAATTCATGAGCCCTTTATGAATTTCATAAAGAAAATAAGACTTTTGAGGCCAAAAGAGGTACATTATTCGAATCGGTGGTTACAAACTGCACAAATAGGCACAAATAGTCTACAAAATAAAAGATAAAACTATTTAGCAAAAAGATGTGCATCAAAGTTTAATTATTCAGCTAAGGTTTTGCAGGGTCTATGTAGTACAGTAGTTGTACAAAAGAATTGATGTCCCTCTGTTCATATTGATAATTCTCTATCAATGATCTGTGTATTGACTACAGGAGTCTGTTCTAAACCTGCACTACCCCAGCCAAATGGACCAGGCCGGAGCAGTGGGTGGGAAGTGGTCGGAAGACGACGCAGAGATGAAAACATTCCGTGTTGTCATGGTTGTACCTGCAAGCAAAATGAACAATATCCTCACAGAGATACAAGAGGTGTTTGCTGTGTGATGCGACTGATAGAAAGACAATCAACAGATTATAGACAGATCACTCTTTTTCTTAGAAAATGCTTTGAAGAAATTCCTTGGATGCTACACCGTTGTCGCCGTCTTGGAAGGCTTGGAAGGTTGACACCTCTTTCTCTTCACACTTCGAAGCACTTCCTTTGACAAGAAAAGGAGATATTACAGCATTCAACCGACAAAAACATTTCCTTTATCTTGCTTTGAAATTCCTGAAGTTAAAAAAATGCTCATGTAGATTAATTTACCAAGAGGATAGATAAAGAGAGATTACATGGATAGACTATCAATATTGAATGTGTTAGATATCATATTTTTAAACAAGTCAGCAAGCTATTGTCCATTGATACGTCTCCATCCATCTACAGGGCCAATTGCTGCGTGCCCAATTGTTGCTTATTTCCTTTCTATCATGATGTCCTGATTATAATAAAGATTGACAATTCGATTGTTTACTCTAATAGATGACTTAATATCAGGAATGGAGACATTTCCTCCCTTTCTTTCATTTAGTTTAGAGCCTATCTGCACTCCTCGATCTACTTTCACCCTCTATATAGCCTAATATATATTTGCCTAAGCAGAACCTGTTGATCCTCCATGATCCCCCTTTTCTTATATTAATTGATGAGATAGCCACCTGTCAGTGACCACAGCAGGAAGGTCTAATCCCTTCTGGCCAAACTAGTGCAGACAGGCTTTAAGATATAGGGGTAGATTAGGTTAGGTTTAGGTATAGCAATTGTTTGGTTCAGGGTTGAAGTTAAGAATTAATTTACTGTATGATATGGAGCAGTTGCCATGGGAGCAGGTACTAGAACCTCTTCTTTGGACTTAGGTGTCATATTATACGAACAGCCCCCCAGTATTATACAAACTGATTTATTCAACATCCATTAATTTTTAAAGATTTTGCAGAAGTTGGAGATATAATACTTTTTATTTCACCAGTATGCAAATGGGTTCTGTAGCTTATTGCTAATTTATAGCTTAAACTTTAAAGACTCAGTACACATGCTAACAAAATTAATTATTTCCAGCCGTTGGGAATCGTGTCTCACTTTTTATCAGCTTTAAAAGTTAGTTTTATGGCTTTTGAGAGGTCATCAAGCAGTGCAAAGAAGAGAGAAAAATATGTACCCAAATTTTAAATATGCATTGTTGACTTTTTATATCATGAAGTTTAATCATGTCCCATCTCTACATGTTTACCATAGATAACAGCAATTAGCATGTCTGAATATAAAGCAGAGTTTTTCCACATCAATTCCTGTTTCATTTTCATTATTTGTGTGCTTTGAGTTTGTTTCCTCTGATTCTCTTGTAGCCATATTCTTTTAGTAAATTTTAACCATTTATAAGAAAATGATAAATAGCTTCACCCTTACTTAAAATACAAATTTTTATTCAATGTGCATATTATGTGCTTCGTTTCTCTCTAAATTTAATAATTTCTACCTATTTGTACGATATCACTTAATTTCTGATGTAAACAAAGACACACAATCATGAACGGACAAAAATGTTGTTTCCAGGTGTTTATTTTGTTTTCTACTAATTTTCACACGAAGCATAATAATGCCACAAGATTCTTAGACAGCATGTACATTGTAAACGTAAAAAGGAAATAAACATAGAAAACATAAAAAGCAACAAAGAAATGCTCCTAAAGCATGAACTATGTACATATCCATACATACATTAGTTGTACAATACCTCCTCATGCTACATAATTATGTCAAAATGACAACGGACATCAACCTAAATGTAATTGTGGAAATTGATATGAACATCAAGTACATTTCTATTTTTATCTTGCAGTTAGCATGTTGATATGCACTGTATGTTGCAACATTTACTGTGTAATAATCATTTGAATTATGAATATAAAATACAGATATTAAAACAATCACTCTGAAAATAAGGTGTTTTCATTTTATGATTCTTTCAGATCTATCATGTAAAGAAGAAATATAAATCAAGAGCAAACATTTTGTGGACAAATTACATGAATCACATGTATTGTACATTTCCATTTAAAGCCGTGAGAAAACCAGTGCCCATTTCTACATACACTGCAACAGACACATCTTTCTATTAACAGTATTGTGACTAGCGACAACAGACAAAACCCAGGATGATTTCATCAAACTGAACTGTTATTTGGTACAGATACCTTCCTATTGATACAGCCTACTGTAAATCAAATAGAGGCCCTCTCATCTGAACACAATAACAGAACAATCTGCATGTTGCATTTAAAGGTTGTACAAGTAGTACAAATACTGGTTTGAGAATTCATTTGTACAAATTTTACTCTTATACATTCACTCATTTTCCACTTTGTAAAAAAATGTGGAATAGAAATGTGGTTCTCCACCTCTTTGGCCTCATGAACCCCCCCCCCCCCCCCCTCCCTCCCGACAAATATGACTGTACATAGAATTTCAATGGGATTTGATTAATTAATGAGTCCCATTCTCTAACCATCTACAAGCCGGTAAACAATCCTGAAACCCTACTTCAGATAGCATCTGTATGACACATAAATATAACTGAATTGTTGCTACCATGTCAACTACAGAAGAAGAAAAAATGTAATGCCATACAAAATGATTTCTATACCTTCAGGCATGATAAACATATGAGTTTTGAGTTTCAGTTCGAGTTTGAGTTTATTAACAACAAAAATAATAACAAGTAAAACATAATGTATCGTCCCAGTCGCGTCTCGTCCCAAGTCAAGTCGCGAACAAGAAATAAGCAACATTGTTCTTGACAAGTAATTTATTATCAACCATACACAGTATAAGCAATGGTTGAAATGTTGATTTTTAGTATTCAATACAAGATTTCCAGTTCAGATTATATATACATAGACATGGCACACATGTTCTGTTGCTAGAAGTTGCATACCACATGTAATGAGTGGGAGGGAGGTATAATTAGAATACACATGCGATGTCAATGCAAATGTCAGATGTATAATAATTCAACTTTGGTGGTGTACAGAAATACAATCACAAATGTAATCTCTTAATAGCTGATGGAAAAATTATATGTTGATCAATAGAGAGGTGATTAACATTTTTTACTATAAAATGAGGTTGTGTAATAGCCTTATACAAGTTTAAAGAGAAAGTTGGGACAGTATATTCAATACCTATACTGTATAGGTATTGAATATATTGTCAGAAGGGCAGCAACTCAGACAAATTACAAAAGTTTGAACACCCTCTTTCATTTCATTCATAGCAATTTGTTTTCAGGGGATTGTCAGGATAATTAGATGTAAATATTCCATGATAATTCATACAAATATATAAACAATGGAGAGTGTGTTATAGAGAAGCATGTATGTTGTTCTAAATATCACTTCCTTTACATTGTTTTTACTCATAATGGTGATTAAAAAGGAGTAGCTACCTTAAGCTGTTAAAGATGTTTATGCATGGGTATATAGTCGTTCGTGAAGTAGTCAACTTGGTGATCACAACATAACATTGAGCCAATGGGTATTACGCTCCTGTGCGTATATCCGTGTGCTGCCCTCTACATACCCAGGCATGAGCAACTTTAAAGCTAAGAGCAAGAGCCTCCAGCACACGCCAACAACATTGAAATTAGGGCTGCGACGTGTAGTCGAATGCTCGAGTACCCGCACGGTTGACAACTACTCGGGTACGATTTCTCTTACCTGAATATTCGGCCGCAAAAAAAAAAAAAAAAAAAAAAAAATCTGTCCAGGCCGACGCTTACCCGTGCCCGGGTGAGCGGCGGCCGCTGGCATGGTGCCGTCGGTAAAAATGTTTCCCAACTCAAGCACTGTCAAACTCACCACTCAGAAACTGGGACCAAATGTCTGGATTTCTGTTTGGACTTGAAGGAAAATGGATTATTCTGCCATCTTTGGTTTTTAAAACAGCATTGTTTACTGTTATTATTATTATTAAATCGGCGCCTTCAACTGCAACTCGAAGTAAAATTGCATGCGTTTTCGGCGACGGAACTGGGATACTGCTCCAAAGGTATGGTGGTGGCAACAAAAAAAAAAATCAAAAAAATTCAAAAAAATTCAAAAAAATTATAAAAAAACATGGCGTCCGAATATTTGAGTATTCGCTTGTAAGCCTGGGAGTGTACTCGGGTACCTCATTACACTGTTGTGCACAGCCTTAATTGAAATGCCTGTATGGTATCAAAACACAATTTTACATAGACATCGACATTACACATACTTTGTGCTACACTACTCGTGAGTCATTCACAGAAAATAAGTCTCTTGGATCTCCATGTAATTTACATCAGACTGAAACAGGTCACATGATCAGTCACGTGACCGATCACATGATCCAATCAGGTGACATTACTGTTTATCCTAGCATCCTTGTATCTTCATGGCGATTTTCTCCAATATCCTCTTGGCTTCGCACTGGGGGAAGTTGGGCATGTCATAGTATTGGGGAGCGAGACGCATCAACCTATATGTGAGGAAGAAATACAGAAAACACATTCAGATTTCACACAATACAGTTGGACTTTTCATAACAAATAGGTTATTACTTATTGGTCTTACTATGCAGATTCAACTGTGATTTAAATTGTCTATTGCGAAAATAGGTCAGTTTGAAAGTGATATTCATGACAAACTTTACTCCATCTTCTTCAAAACTTCAGTTTCTTGAAGATGAAACTTTTTTTATAAATAATACAACACTTGATGTTCATTTTTAATACAAGTTTCAAACTTTATAGATAAAATCTGAACAAAGTACATTTTCATCAGGCTGTGTACATGCATTTTGACTTTCAATTCAAGTCAATTTAAAAGTTGCTCCATTCATATTATACAAGATTTATGTTATTCACACTCATTTCATAAAAAGGGACGCCCTCAGAATCACATGTTGACTGAATATTTCAATCAAACCTGTCATACATTAAAGGAAGTCTTACGTATTGTCATACAGCACTTTAAATTTGCATGATTTACAGTCATTAATGGGTATAGAAATTAATTTTGGAATAATGTCAGCCAACAAAGAATCACTTACCAGTCTGCCTTGATATCTGTGACTGTTCGGACGTAGTTCTTAGTGGTCAGTACAAACTCATTGTAGAGAACCCATTCAGGCTTATGGTCAAGACAGGTGGATGGATGAAGCTGGACAACCTGGTTATCCTTGACCGTCAGATAGTGACCAGTCCTTTCCAAGTGAGCAACCTGCAATGAAGCACAAGGAACAAGAGACAAACGTTACTTTTTTATTCACATAAACATTCAACTCTTATACATATATGTGACCTGCAGAGTCAAAACTATTTAACTGTACATGGTGAAAAACGTTGATTGCTCTGAAAATGGATGCTAATATTTGCTTTTATCATAACATGTTATCTAAGCAAGTTGATGGTTTAAACCAACTGTTGTCACGTGGTGTCTAAAGAATAGATTATGATTTCCTTGGAGGGAAATTTCAAAGGAAACCCTAATGAGGTCATAACATCAATTATTTTTTTATTTTTCTACACAAGAAAGGCTTTTAATGACATGACTTGTTGGCTGATCAAGAGCAATTAGAGAAGTGCCAACTCACCCCAATCTGAACAAACATTAAAGACAAAACCAAAACAAGATTACAGGATATCCAAAGCCCGTTACCT